TTTGCCAGCACGGTTGGGCTTTGAGCCCTCCCCCCTCCCCCCTGCTGTTTGCTAGAAAGTGTGGTCTGAAGGAATAAACTTGATACTTCATTCATCTGCAGAATAGCACAGTGCTTAACACATAGGGCACACATAGTTGGGTTTTAAAAAGCTTGGGACATGGCCTGGGACAGTGATGGTTGGTCCCTGAGAAGAAAGCTCAGCTCACAGCCTGTCTCCCCTCTATTGACTAGGGCATCTACAGCTGCTTCAACGGGGTACAGAGCCTCCCCAGCCCTGCGCGGCCGCCCAGCCCGGACCTCACAGCAGGCTCAGCCCAGGTCAGTGTGTTGAAGATGCTACAGGCGGCTCGAGACATGGTGAACACTGCGGATATGAGCAGCTCCCTGGACCGCGCCACACGCACCATCGAGAACTGGGGCAACAACCGCCGGGCACCTGCTCCCACCAGCTCCGGCCCGCGGTCCTCCACCCCAGGTCCTCCAGGACAAAGGAGTCCCAGTGGCTGGGGGCCTCCCGGTGGGGGCCACACATCACAAACGCGCAGGGCCCCGCAGCCCCCCGGCCGCTCCGTGACGTGCGGGCCACCACTGCCCGAAGTGTCCCGAGCACCCTGCAGGCACGCTTGGGATGCGCGGTGGCCGGTGCGGGTCGGACACCCGGGGCGGCACCTCTCGGCCTCCGAGCGGCGCGCGCTCCCGGAGCGCCCCCTGCTGTCCGCGCACTGCCACTACAGCTCCTTCCCTCGAGCTGAGAGATCCGGGCGCCCCTTCCTCCCGCTCTTCCCGGAGCCCCCGGAGCCCGACGACCTGCCGCTGCTCGGGCCGGAACAGCTGGCTCGGCGGGAGGCTCTGTTGCGTGAGGCCTGGGCCCGGGGCTCGCGCCCTCGCCATGCTTCCCTACCCAGCTCGGTAGCAGAAGCCTTCACTCGATCCAGCCCGCTGCCTGCCAGGTGCACCGGCCATGGCTGTGCCTGTCCCTGCCCCCAAAGCCAGCCATCCTGCAGGCACTTGGTTCAGGCACGGTCGATGCGGCTGCCATCCTACAGGGAGGCCTATGTGGAGGGTATACCGGCAGGGGTGGCCACCTGGCAGCCCAGACAGCACGTCTGCCTGCACACCCATACCCACCTGCCACTCTGTTGGGGGCCTGTCTGTCGTCATCCTCTACCCTGTGCCAACCACAGCCCCTGGCACATTGGAACGTGGGAGCCTCCATTACACAGAGGCAGGACCCTGGGGCTAGGCACAGGCTACAGGGACAGTGGGGTGCTGGAAGAGGTCCGCAGGGACGCCCATGGAACACAAAGTTTCCCAAGGTCCTGCACCTGGAGGCGGATCTCCAGCCTGGAATCGGAAGTGTGAGGTACTGGCTGCTCTGGTTCCTGCTGGACTAGATTTGGTGGCTGGCCTTGGCCATGTTTAGTGGGCAGACAAGCGTGGGGGGGGGTCTCTGGCTTCTACTCTGAAATCTTGGTCATGGGACCCCAGCGAAGATGATGTCTGCCATGGCCAGCTTGTGACCTTAACAGGCACCCGGTGTGGGCTAGGATCTTGCTCATCACATAAAGTCTTGCAGTCACAGGGCATAAAAATGGGTCTCTGTCCTGGTGCCAGCCAGTTCCTAGCTGTGGCTGCTGTGGCCCTGGGCTGGGAACACAGAAACTGGAACTGGAAAAGGGGTGGGGCCATCCCACCCCTTGCTCCAGTAGGTTGGAATTTCTTCTCATTGTTGGAGCACTGGAACATTAAAGCAATGTTTTACAACCCACTTGGTCCTGGCTGCCTCATTCTACATCCTGGAGGGTGCACAATAAAGCCTTGGGTATGTTCTGGGCTGGACATTGGGCAGCTCCGTCCAGGGAAGCCTTAGCTTCAGGGGTGTGGGTGAGGCTGAGGCAGGGGGCTCCCAGGGCAGCAGAAGCCGTTTGGTCCTCAGGGCCTGTCCCCCCTATTCTGTGACAACTGTCTTCACTATGGGGGCTTTGGGGCTCATCACTCAGTCTCCCTGAAAAAGGAGGCTCTTGCTGGGGACAGTGGCTTTCTTGACAGGCTAGGAGACCCCCCACCCCCCGGGGGCACCTGGAGCCTGTGTGACAGTGGCAAAGGCCACTGGTTTGTTTGGAGAGTCTGCCAAGCTTGCCTGGGGCCTGGACTCTGGAAGGTGGCACAGGTGCTGTCCAGGGTCAGGCATGGTTCAGCTTCACTGTGCCAAAACTCCCATCCTCCCTCTGGAGTTCCAGCCCTCACATGTCACAGGTTCTGGGGACCTCTGTAAGGGTGGCTTTTGCCATCTTTTAAAGTCTTTCAAATTTCCCACCAGCAATTACATCTGTTCTCCAATAATGACTCTGTGAAATGTGCAAGCATCCGGTACCATTCCAAGTGTGGTGAGCACTTCTGTACCCCTACAAACGTAAAGCAGGGGCCCCACTGTCCTCGACAGGTAGGTGGGGTGGAGGCCGGCAGATAATTCTTCCACTGACAGAGAGGGAGGGGACCGCTGGGTACAGTGACCCCTGGAGCCCTAGTGTCCTCTGTTACAGCTAGTTGCCTATGTTGCCTCTCCAGTCTCCAGCGAGACCAAGTTGCTTGGGTGGGGGCCACGACAACTGGGCTTTTTAAAGTTTTGTCTTAGGGAAAATGGCAAGGTCAGATACACTTCCACCATGGCCAGAGTCCGATCACCCTAAGAATGGGTAGCCCCCCTCTTTTACGGTCATAATCACTTACGGCCGGCCGTTCTCAAGATGAAACCGGGCAACAGGTGGTGGAGACCGTAAGCCTAGGTGCGTACTGACTATAGTGCTCTCGGGAAGGGAGCCTGACTTGGACCCAGACTTGACCCAGCGGTGACAGGGTTAACTGGGAGCTGTCAGTCTGTGTGGAGCTGTGGGGGAAGGCTGCAGCAGGTGAGTGGGGAGGAGGCGGGAGGTCTAGGCTGCGTTGCTTGCTGGCCAAGATCACTAGTAACCCAGACCTGGAAAGATAATAATTAAGAGTCAAATGTGGAACCAAGCCTGCTGTTGGCTCCGATGAGGGCTGCTCATGCTTGCTGGCCCAGGCGCCAGCAGGCTGGTTCTTTTCTAGGAATGCATAGAGGGGCAAGGACAGACAGCTTAGCTTCTTGTTCATGGTATAGAGGCCCTGGCTCTCTCAGACCTCTGAGAGGAGACACAAAGACTGTGTGTGTGTGTGTGTGTGTGTGTGTGTGTGTGTGTGTGCATGTAGGGAATGTGAGGTCATAGGACAGAATCTAACTTGGGGCCCTAACAACCTCCACCTTCAATGCTGTTTTCTTCCTTTTGATGCAAAAGCAAGGCCCTGCCACTGGCCCCACAGTGTGACACTGTCTGACCCAGTTCCCTCCTGTGGCTGCCCTAGCTGCTCCCCTGGTTTGTTTTAAGTCATCAGCGTTTTCCAGGGGAGCCAGTGCTCACAAAGGGGTTGGGGGGGATGACATCACATTTCTAGCCGTGTCCCTCTGGCTTTACTTACCTTGCTCTTTGCAAGGGGAGGGCTGCCCTCAAGTTTCCTAGAAGACTAGGGAACCATGGCCAAGCCTTCTCTTCCCCAAAGCCCCGTAGACGCCAGGGTCTGAAGCGCACCAGGACTACCATTTCATTAGGAGTCGATAAAGCCAAGTAATATCTGCCAGTCTCAGTCGAGTCCTGTCAGTCCCGGGTTACCAGGACAGCCACAGCTGGGAAATGACTTAAGGAGACAACTGTCAGTAATAGCAGCTTTCTTTATTAAGGACTTCGGTGCCAGGCTAAGTTCAGTCCTTTAATTCCCACGATCTATGACCTAGAAGAGGGACGGTTGCAGATGCCTACTGCTCAGAGGCCACGGGGTCTGACAGCTTGGTCCTCACAATGTACCCAACACTGTGCCAGACATGCAGCATGCCCACGGGAGGAAGGTGGGCAGGGCTTGCCTGCAGCCTGGCTACTGAGAACTAGCCTCATGGCCCCTGGCAGGCAGCAGTCAGTAGGCATGTCTCAGCTTTCCTCTGCCCCTGGGTCTGGAACCACCCAGCTGCTACTCTTCGGCTGGAGCCCCATGAGGCCGGCACTGCCTGTTGCTGGGGCTGCTCTTGGTCCCGTGGGGTGAGGACAGCTGTGTGGCCTTGGGCCTGGTGCCCACTGCCACTTTCTGTCCCTCGGCAGTGCCCTGCAGCCTGTCACCTGCCATCTGCCCCAGCTACCGGCCTCAGGTGAGGCACAGCAGGAGTTCCTGGCACTGCGCTCTGCTGGGCTGCTGAGTGCTCACCCCCACCTTGACCTGGCTTACCCTCAGGAGGAGCTGGTCCACAGAGAAATGCAGATCCATGGCAGTGCCGTCTGCCAAGTTCCAGACCTCCTCCAAGGAGACTTGGATCTGGGGCCAGGCTGGGTAGGCTCCTTTGCCATCTTCCCAACCTCACTAACCTCAGGGCCTCTTTGCAAACAGGCACTAATAGCCTGGCCTGTCACCTTACCCGGGGCATGCAAAAACATTTAATGTGCTTGATGCCTGCGGGGGAACAGGTGTCACCCACACCCGGGGATGCGAAGCCCTTTATTCCTCTCCGTGTCCAACTCCTCTCTGCCAGTGACAGAGGCCAGGTGTGGTGAGGAAGGTGACCTGACGTGACTTCTGACAGGCCAGACAGTGGGTGGAGATGGAAGAGTAGAGAGCCTAGACAGCGTGCAGTGGGGTGGGCTTCAGCCTGGCGTTAGCAGCCACCGGGTCCCTCCTGCCTCCTAGACTGGGGCTCCCTAACTTGACTTGGGGGGTGGAGGGGACACAGCAGCCACTCCACTGCTGGGTGTGGCTCCAGATTGCCGCATAAACCAACTTGGGCTTTATGAGGCTAATCAATTTTCCACCAAAATTTCGTTTGGAGCCTGGGGGCAGGATGAGGTGTGTGTGTGTGTGTGTGTGTGTGTGTGTGTGCTCGCACGCACGTGTGAGTGTTGCAGTAAGATGATTTAATTTGCTTTGTCCTTAAGCAAGAGGGAGAAGGGTAAGTAAAGATGTTTTAATTGAGTTCTGGGCAAACAGCGGAGCATGGGAGGAAGGGCAGTCTTCCCTATCCCTGGGCCTGCTGCTGCTGCTGTATTGGTCTCCTCAGTTGGCCCACCCTGGGGCAGGGCCTTCTCGGAAGACGCCACCACGGCAGATGGGGAGAGGGATGTCTGTTTTTCATGTGGATGGGCAATGACGATGCTTAAGGACTGCTAATGTGTGACAGTGGTGACAAAGCTGTAGACAGGGTCACAGGATATCCAACAGCATAGTAGGGCTCAAGCTTTAAATGGCAAGATGTAGATGGGAAGGGGCGGCTGGCGCAAGTCCCCTCATGAGGGTCGAGCAAGGCACTGGAATCAAGAAGGAGGGGTGGGGGGGTCTGAGACCCTTTACCCCAGAGGCAGCTCTGTCCAGGACAGGACTAGGCCCAGGGTTGGGGCAAGCCAGGGTCGGGAGGGATCCCTGGTGCCCAAAGCAGAAGGCACATTGAAAATGCAGTTCATTAAATCGCTCATTCCAAGGCATTGGGCCTAGAGGGTGCATGCGTGACTGGACAGGAGGCAGCTGGGAACCCGGCCTCCTTCCACAGTTATGGTGGTGGACGCCCCCTCCAGCTCCACAGCAGCCACTGAGCACCCAGACCACACCCCTGGGGGCACTACCACCTCAGTGCAGCGATGCAGCACAGGAGCAAGCTGGGCTATGGGCACAGGCCTTTTGGGGGGGCACTCTGTTCTCTCCCTGCCCTAAGTCAGGGGCAGTCAGCCACTATGGGTGTGGGTAGGGCGGCGAGGGCAGCTTCTCAAGTGCTACCCCGCACTTCAGGAGGTCCCTGGGCTCCAAAGGAGAAGCCAGGGAACAGAGGGCCCCTTTCAGGGACCCAAAGCCAAGGGCTTTAAACCCTGTGGAAGGGATGCTTCATGTGTCTGCCACAGCAGACCTAGCGCCCACAGCGAAAGCTCTCACAGCTCTTGTCTAGGGACCCCGGTACCAATTAGCACTTCCTGTCCTTGTCACCAGGGCTGGCCAGGCCTCCCACAGGAGGAACACTTAGCAACGGTCAGGACTGTCAGGAAATGGGCCCTGCCCAGCACAAGAAGGCCAGGTTAGGAGAGCCAGGGCCTGGGAACTTGCCTTTGAAGAGGCAGCAGCTGCTAGTGGACGGTCGAGGATGCGGGAGGGGACACGGGGTCTAGTATAAATAGCAGCAATGCCAGCATTGTCTCCACCACCCCCCTCCCGCTGCACAGAGAAGGGAGCCAGCCTCCAGTGGCAGGGGTGGAGGGATGTGTGTAACAGACTGGATCCATCCCAGAATCCGGGAACAGCCATGCTCCTAGGCAGGAGGGCTGTCTTGCAGGGCGAGGCCTGGGTGGGGAGAGGACACCAGCTGGAGATGCAGGCGGCGGCCTGCTCCGAGAGCCCCAGTCTAGCGTGCTCATGTAGACTGGGTGGCAGTTCAAAACCGCTTTGAGGCGGGGAGGCTGGCGCTGGGCTGTCCCTGCCTCCTCTCGCCAGGTACGCCAAGCTGTCAGAGCTGGGTCTCACTGAGGACGATGTTGGCCGTGACAAAGAAGAAACAGGAGAAAGCCCACAGTAGCACAAAGGCTACCCAGAAGGTGTGGCGGAACGGGGACCTGTGCTTGTTGACCGTTCCACAGCCGAAGGTCAGCTGGGTGTCCTTGCGGCAGAGGTAAACCAGGAAGGCAGGGATGACATACTGGATGCCGGTGCCCGCATACGCTCCCGTGATGCCCACCAGGGACTCCAGGTCATGGGTGCAGAAGGCCACCAGAATGGGAGGCACCAGGGTGATGGTGGGAAACACCACGCGGTCCACCACCCACGGGTACGTGCCACCCTCTCGGTGAAAGAGTGTCTTCCAGTTGTTGCGCAGGGTCACGGCAATGATGGGGAAGTTGGTGCTGATGGTGAACACAGGGAAGAGGCCCAGGAAGAATCGGACGGCAGCCAGGCCCACAACGTCGCACCTTGCAAAATTGAGGGTGTACATGTCCATGAGGCTGTCGCTACGGAAGCAGAAGATGGCCGTGAAGGAGAGGAGTCCGTAGAAGGCCAGGATCAACGCGTAGTCCAGGAACACCAGGCGTGTGATGTGGCGCTTGGAGGAGACGGGGGTGAGGAGGGATGGCAGCGAGTGTTGGCACATGAAGGAGTACACACAAACCCCAAACAAGTTCCGAACCCCTAACAAGTTGGCCAGGGGTGGGTGCCCCTCTCCTTGTCTGCTCCCGATGCGCACCAGGGCCAGCACAATCATGATGGCGAAAGCTGTAAGACAAGGAGGGAGGGGGTCAGTTGGTGAGGATGAACTGCCTCACCCCTCAGACTCTGCATCTCTGCTCCGCAGGGCTGTGTAAGGGCCGGAGCCCGGGGACAGGAACCGTGGAACCCCACAGCCATGCGGGATCTGCCCAGCTGGTGCGTGTTCTAGGTACCCAGGTCTGGTTTTCCCTCCTCTTCCCAGAAATGGGCCTGGACACGACCTGGAAGGAGGGGAGGCTGGGCTGAGCGCAGGACGATTCAGCCTGGTAAGGAGCTGCCGGCTCCCTCTTCGTCCTTCAAGGACTCTCTCAGGGGCACTGTCGGCTTCCTGTCAGGGGCACGCACGGGGCCAGCAATCATTCCTTCTCTCTTCCTTGGTTTCAAGGCACTGTGCCTGTGGAGCCGGGTGTGGGGAGCCGAGGGCTGAAAGGCACATGCACATCTGGGGGGAGGCATCCTCTTAGGCAGAGGTCCCAGGCTACATCTGGGGGGAGGCATCCTCTTAGGCAGAGGTCCCCGGCTACATGTGGGTCAGAGGGCAGGAAGGCTGGGAGTTGTGTGAAGGGCTGGGTGACCAGGGTCTTCGGCAGGTGGGAAGTAGTTGGGGGGTCACTCCAGGGAAGAAATGGCACCAGAGAGCAGTCTAGAGGCAGGTGGGTCTCAGGACCGGTCCTATGGCTGGAGGCAAGTGGCTCTGTTCTTCTGGGCTTGGTGGTGTAGTTAGGGGACAGGGAACTTCCTGCAGAAAGGCATCTGTGACCCTATCTGCTCAGAACAGCGGCAGGCTTCCCCTGGCTTTACCTGGCGGCCTCCACCCATGGACTGCTCACCAGCCTGAAGACACCCATAGGGTACTCACTACAGCACAGCCAACGGCAAGCTTCCTGCCAGCTAAGATGGTATTTCCAGACCTCTGTGGCTTCTGACGTCTGCTACTGACATCACCCAGAATCATCAGTGGTAACCACTCAACACACACAGGGACCCCCGCATCTTCACCTCCATTTTGAATGTATACATCTTTGCTGCTTCTATTCAGAACACTCCCTGTAGTCGGGGGCAAGTCCACAGGGCATGTGTGACACTTCTTTGTGGGTGGCAGGCCAGGCAAGGCGACGTGTCCCCATCTGGGAGCCCCATCAGAGCATCAGGGCTCTTCCTCAGTTTGAAGCTGGAGGACCGGTATTATCCGCCTCAGGGCATGGGTACACTCCTTGGTTCTTGGGACACATTGTTCTGCTGGACCCACAAGAAGCCAGGCCAATGTCTCTTCCCTTGGTGACACCTGGGAGCGGGCTGGAGTCGTTTATTACTTTTAATCAGAGCAGCCCGAGGTTGGAGAGAGGACAGAGTGGGAGGTGGGGGCTGGGAACAGGACTATGAAAACTGCCAATAAGACGATGATTTGTCTCAGCTCTCAGCCCTCTTGCCCCAGGGCATCACAAATCTTTGCAGCCCTGGCCAGTCAAAGGGAAGCAGCAACCTAGTTTCTCTCTCAGCCTCAGCCCATGACCCCAGGAGTCTGGCCCATCCCAGAGGTGTAGGAAGCTGCAGGAAGTATACCAAGGCAAGGTGTCGGGGAAACTCTCAGGTGAGCAGAAGTGGTACCTTGTGTGCTTGCGAGGGTCCTGGAGCCTAAGAACAGCACAGCACTGGCAGCCCGTTATTCAGGAGGTGGGAGCAGACAGCTGGGTCACTGGGCCACCATACGGGGGTGGGGCACTAGATAAGGGCCAAGGAAGTAGCCGTTGCAAGGCAATATTTGAATTGTGTTTTGCCATCACCGTTTGGGATGCCGCCTGTGACCTGGCCGTGCTCCAGATCTTGGCCACAGCCAGCATGAATTTGGAAAGAGGCCAGTGGAGAAATCCTGCAGCTGTCTGTTGCTTGACCTTGGCCTTGGGTCTTTCCAGTGGGCAAGAAGGCAGGAGGTGGCTGGCTGGTGAGGTAGATGCTGGCTGGTGAGGTTGGGTTTGGCCTCAGGTGCCTGCTATGTCTTTCTGCTGTCTGGGGGCAGCCTCAAGTCCTGTGAACCTGCTGCTTGTTCAGGGCAGACAACTCTGGCTGGGCTCCCTCCACTTTACTGCAGAAAACCCAAGCAAGGACACTGGGTGTGTAAGTGTGTGCATGTACCTTCGACCCCTTCCGTATCTACCCACTGACCTGGTCTTTCAGGGGCCGCATCCTATGTCAGGGTTTTCTAGACCTTTCAGGATGGCCTATAAAGGTGTGGCTGTAGGGGATAAGGCACCATAGTTCCTCATAACTAGTCTTACCTGTTAATGCTATTCCAGAGAGGAGCTACGCAGGAGGCAGAGGCAGAGGCAGGAGGATGGCGAGTTTCAAGGCCAGCCTGGGGAAATAAGTGAATTCTGTCTCCAAATAAAAGTGTCTAGAAAAATGGCTCAGCAGTGGTTAAGATTGCTCCACTTCCAGAGGATCTGAGCCCAGGTCTCAGAACACAGCTCACAATTGCCTGTAACACCACTTAGACACACACGTGGCATGCACAGACACAGACACACACACACAGAGACACAGACACACACACAGACACACATGGACACGCTTTCCCAAAATTAATTAATTCTTCAGGGTCATTTTATGGAATGGCAGCTTTTTTTTTTTTTTTTTTTTTTTTTTTTTTTGAGACAGGGTTTCTCTGTGTAGCCCTGGCTGTCCTGGAACTCACTTTGTAGACCAGGCTGGCCTTGAACTCACCTGCCTCTGCCTCCCTAGTGCTGGGATCAAACGTGTGTGCCACCAATGGCCAGTGAATGGCAGCTTCCCTAGCTCCCACCCTCTCCTCAGCCACACTGAGCACTTCCTGCCAAACATGCGGACCGCATGGAAAGGCCACTGGGCCAGGTTAGGGAAAAGTACAGCACCTAAGAGATGAGGTGACTCCTGAGGGCCTACTGTGTGCCTGGCCCAGTGAATACAAAGGGAGACACACTCATGCCAGGAGAAGGGAGGGCCCACGCATGTGCCCAAGGAAGTCTCTGGCTAGCCACAGTGGGGACCCTCGCTGAGGCAGAGGGAGAGCCCCAGCCAAGTCCAAGAGAAGGGTCCAGTGGCTTCCCGCCCCCTTGAGTACACTCGGATGGCACCGTCCCCTGGGAACAGGGAGGCGAAAGGAGGAAAGGGTGTCGGTCTGGCTTCCAAGCCGTTAAGTTCAAAAGAAATATCTACGCCCTCATTGGAAAGCACGGACAAGAGAAGGGAAGGAAGTAGGGGGCTCTGACCTGCGCGGTCCCCAAGACCAGGATGCACGACGAAGCCCCACTCTCCTGGGGCCAGATGCCTTTGTCCCTGACACTCCCTGCCTTCCTGAGTGCCCAAGGAGCTGACTTCACGGGCTATCTCCCAGATTGATCACCCCACCCCTGGGGAGACGGCTGCTCCAAAAACTCATCAGGTCTGCTAATAAATCAAGGTGAAATAAGATGACAGGCTGTGAGCGACACAGTACAGGAGGGGTGGCTCGCTGTGCCACCCTGGCTTACAGCTGCTGCTCGCCTCTATTTGCAGGAGAGGCACCGATGGGCATGGAGGTAGGATGGTGAGTGGTCTCCAAACACCCAACATGTCCCCATCAGAGCTGCAGGGGTCTGCCTGGCCTTGAGCCCTGCCTGAGGTTCCCAGGCGACAGAGCCAGGTGTGTCTGCGCCGCCCTATCCTGGGTTAAGCTCTGAGCATCCACATCTGTATGCAGCTACTTTCCACACAGGAAGTCACACTCCAAGGGGTGTGGAGAAGCATGGAGGAGCCAGGGAGGCCTCAGAAGGCTGCTGAGAGCTTCACATTAGGTCACATGGGGACGGTAGGTCTGGGCAGGTCATCTGTACAGGGGTGGGGGTGGGCACAGGAGACTTCTTATTATTTATAGAAACAACTGTGCTGGTTTTGCATAACCTGAGGCTTGGCCTTGAGCATCACTCACTCATTCAATGGTCTCACTGAATGTCTGCGGAGTGTGGCCACTATTCCGGCCCCTCAGGGGTCCTGTCCCTGTGGCGTCCAGAGTGTAGGAGAGCCAACAGGTAGAAGGTACCTGGTTAGTGGTCACCTTATGACGACATCCCTGTGGCTAAGGGAGGCCCAAGTTCAAGGGTAGAAGCTCACTGAGGGAGGAACAGAGGCAGGTGCCAGGTGCCAGAAGGGAATATAAGGACCTCCCTGGCTGCTCTGTTGCCCAGGTCTGTGGCTGCTACACCTGCTCTTGCAAGGCAAGATGGGGCCAGCTGCCATCCCTGACTCTGCCTGAAACCACGTGCTGCTTAGAGGCAGGCTTCTGACAGCTGATCTAAGGTCTACAAGCTGGCCTTGCCATACTGATTCACCTTGAGGCGCAGTCCGCCCCGGGGAACATCTAACTCTTTGGAGGGAGGGAGGGAGGGGACGGGCAGGTGCAGAGGGCAAGCCATTATCTGAGGAACTGAGACAAAAACAGGCGCTGCTACTTAGCCCTGGGCGGCCCATCTCCCCGCCCCGTGTGGGGAGGTCAGGGCCAAAGCCACCTGGGCACCAGTAGCACCCGGGTAGCTCTTCCCTCTTTCCTGCTGTCAAGAGCCAGGTAAATCCCCATGGGAGCTGTCTGTCCATCTGACCTCAGAGCATCCCCTTGGCAGGGACAAAGGGCAAGCCGCACCCTCCGGGTACCTGCCAAGGACAGAGGCACGCTGATCCCTAAGAGCATCAGACTAAACAAACGGTGCCTCTCCTGAACCCCCGCCTTCCCACGCAGGCCCTGCCTTCTTGGGACTCACCCAGGGCAGAGGAGGTGAGTAGTGTTTTAATGACCAGGTGAAGCCATGGATGGACTTACAGACTTGGTGGGGCCAGATGTGGGGTAAGCAGGAGTCTGTGTCTGCTTGGGCATCCAGAACAGACGTCTTAGGGCAATGGGAGGGCACAGGAAATGGTTGTCTTTTCCCCCTAAGCACACACTCAGAGACTGGAGTTGTCAAAAGAGACCAGCTCCAATGTTGAAGCAGTGGGAACAC